GTTTTTTTGTTTGTTTGTTTGTTTTATTTTCCCCCACAGGACATGCTTTTTCCTCACGACGCGGCTCGCATCAAATCAGACCGTCATTTAAAAAAATTTAATCTGGCATATACTTTTTATCATATCTTCAGATCTACTTTAGCCTAACAACACAATTTAAAAACTGGTTTAAAGTTCGAAGTCTCTACTTTTCATTTAAAAGTCTCAGAGAGGGCGGATCTTTACAGGTAGTTTTTTTTCTTCCTAAACTTTATTTAGGTCAGCCAGCATTGACAACGCTCTGCGGGTGACGTAAACGGCTCCGCGACATGGCGAGGGAAGCATAAATTGCGTGACAACGAATCGATAATGAAATTCGTTGCCAATTCTTATAATAATCGATTTTTATCGAGTTTATCGATTCGTTGTCGCAGCCCTATACAGAACCCTATAAAAGTAGTGACAATTAAATATCAAACACAACAATAACACTTTATGCCTCTTACTTACTACAAATATTTTGACATCTCTGACTTGACACATTTTTAAAACTAATTTTATTTTCACTTTCATAGTTTTACCTTCAACTGCTTTTAAATTTAACTGTCTTGAGTGCTCATGGTTTTTACCAGCTTCTAGACAAGATTCTGACGTTTCTGTAGATACCAAACTTGTCTATGTTAAACTAAAAGAACTTATAGTAATTAAAGTAGAAAACAAGAGGTTTGGACTTAAAAGATGAGTAAACCAATTGGCGGGGCGAACTTTGGTCACTCGCGGGCCGGATGTGGCCCCCGGGCTGCCAGTTGAATAGCCCTGGCATAGATTATTCTTTAAAATGTGCATTTTTTTATTTTAGAAGTGATAAGTCAGGTTCAGTTTGAATTTTTTAGCCTGTGCACCAATTTAATCCTTTCTTAGTTTTCAAAATGCAATTGCTTCAGGTGGAGGAGTTCAGGTATCTGTGTGTCCCTGAGTGATGGTAGGGGGGTCAAGCTTAGTCGTAAGCCTCATTCATAAGACAGCTCAGTCCGGGACTCTTCCCCCCCCCTTTACTTTCAGCTTCTCCCGCGTCTAAAAAAATGAACAGTTTTTAAAAAGCTGAAAACTGTAATGACCTCTGTGAGGGACAGATTCAAAAACTAATGTACAAAATAGTTTCCAGGTTTGACTCTTTCTCTGTTAACGACCTTCTAATGTTTCCATATCTAGTCGCTCACTCTGGACATCGAGCAGAAATCACTGGAGGCCAGTAAAAAGCGTAAGGCACTTGAGAAAGAGGTGACAGAGGCGAAGTCTGCACAGGTAATGTATAAAAAAAAAAAAAAMACACACACAGCACATCTGACCCAGACCAAATCTGGGATATCATCAGTTTACAGGTTTGTAAACAGATCAACGCTGCGAATGCAGAGTCTTTAAAAATATTATTTCAGGACTGGGGCTCTAAATCTGAACAGATGAACTTAGATGAAAATATGTCTGTTATCTCAGACAAGATAAAGTGCTTCAATTTATTTTCCTCTATGGTGTCTTCTTATATTTCTTTCTTGGTCTTTATTAAAATGATTTCATAAAGAATTAGCAAAGAAGTAGGTGATTAAACATATATATATATGGTTACGGCTGACGTGGACGTAAACGAGTCAAAGAGCACGCCTTGGGGTCCCCTGTTCGACGGTCTAAAGACAGATTCTCCAGCAGCACCCCCATCTACCTGGCAGGTGACAGAACATCATCTCAAGGTAAAAGCTGGCTGTGTGTGACGTCGAGGTCTGACCGAAGCTGAGCACAGAACGCTTCGCCCTTCTGGTTAAAACCCACATTATTTAAGATAAAAGGTATAAGAAAGCTAACATCTTTCTTCCCCCCTTTTTTTAAACTCTTCTAAGATAAACAGCCTCAAAT